AGAACATTATTTTGTGTATTTGGTGTAATTAAATGTGTTTATGCGGTTAAAGGTTCAAAAAACACATTATTTTCCACATACTGTACATTATTGTTTCTCCTCTATGCCCCGCCTTTCTGAAACGCGTCGATTTTTACAAAGCTCATCGGTCTGAAAAGCGAGGTGTGCTCTGATTGGCCAGCTATCCAGTGCGTTGTGATGGCCGAATATCTCAAGCGTGTGACGGAAATGTTATGCCTCTTACCATACTGTGATGCCCTGTCCGGCCGGAGCGATGAGACAAAAACATTAAAACCCATTAGAAACAAGGCATTCTCCAGTGGGGACATAATTACGGATTATAATGACTTATACTGTTTTTTTACGCGTTGCGTTGCATCGCGCTGCGTAAACATAAAACCATGTCTGCATTTGTGATCGGAGAAACTACAAACAACGAGCCCTACTCTACACTGCCCAAAAAACACGCTTTAAATATATAAAATATAAAAACTCTTTAAATATAAAAAACATACTTACAGTCTGTGAGTCAGAACTGCCGGCATTGTGGTCTACTCTACCAGGATCATGAAACAGTCCTCCATAAAATGTGCTGCACACATCTGAATATTTGGGTTGAACTGTTCTGGAACAGTGTTGTAAATACAACTTAACCACTGATTTCTAGTCGTGTCCATTTTTGGAAGACCAATCAAAGTAGTTTCGCTTTCACAAGGAAACACAGCATCACACACGGCAGCCTAGATTGAGCAGAGGCCGGGGGCTAGCGTGAGGAACGGCGGCAGGGTTAGAGTGAGCAGAGGCGCAGGCTTGAGAACGGCGCGGCCGGCGATTTCGACGAAGGAGCGTCCGGAAGGACATGTGACGACTCCGGGCTGGACTCCGCTTTTGCATTACTGCCTAAAAAGGTAACTAATTACATTGCATCCAGTGGGGACATAATTACGGATTATAATGACTTATACTGTTTTTTTACGCGTTGCGTTGCATCGCGCTGCGTAAACATAAAACCATGTCTGCATTTGTGATCGGAGAAACTACAAACAACGAGCCCTACTCTACACTGCCCAAAAAACACGCTTTAAATATATAAAATATAAAAACTCTTTAAATATAAAAAACATACTTACAGTCTGTGAGTCAGAACTGCCGGCATTGTGGTCTACTCTACCAGGATCATGAAACAGTCCTCCATAAAATGTGCTGCACACATCTGAATATTTGGGTTGAACTGTTCTGGAACAGTGTTGTAAATACAACTTAACCACTGATTTCTAGTCGTGTCCATTTTTGGAAGACCAATCAAAGTAGTTTCGCTTTCACAAGGAAACACAGCATCACACACGGCAGCCTAGATTGAGCAGAGGCCGGGGGCTAGCGTGAGGAACGGCGGCAGGGTTAGAGTGAGCAGAGGCGCAGGCTTGAGAACGGCGCGGCCGGCGATTTCGACGAAGGAGCGTCCGGAAGGACATGTGACGAAGACGGGATGGACTCCACTTCGTCCACGGTGAAAGCCGATCCGGCGATCCACAGCGCAAAGTTGTAGTATTTCCTCAGCAACCAGCACGGATCAGCTCCAGGCATGACAAAGCAGATATCGTCCTCTTTTGGAAAGACCAAACAAACTAGTTTCGCTTTCACAACGAAACACAGCGCTTTCACGACATGGCGGCGGCAACACCAATACTACAGCGAGAATAAAAGTTACGCCTTCTTTCTTTGTGTGAACATTTGGGCATTATGCAAATCTTCCCACATAGTGATGTAGATATTTTGGGGCGTGTTAGAACGAGCCGTTTTAGGTAGGCGTGGCTGACTTTTTTATAAAGAATATCTCTTTGGATTTGAGACTTTAGTCTTTGCAACTTTACAGATCTTCTTTATGCACCAATAGCTTGTAACACTTCAAAGAGAAAGGAAAACTTGAAGTCGCATCATATGACCCCTTTAATAACCTGCACAATGGTTGCACGCGCACGCAGCGTGCCAATGTAGTCGGCCTCATTAACAAATGACTCTTATGAACCGGATCTTTTTGAGTCAAAACCACAAAGTGCAGTTCACTAACGAATTGTTTTTACATTTGTTCGTGAATCAGATAATTACTGCTTTTCAGGTAACTCAGAAGTCCTCTGAGAAATCTAATCCCGTCCGGATATGTATGAGATTCATCACGTAATTGTTTGGTGATCCGATTCTCCGACCGCTCGCTCCACTTTCATCATGGATATAAGCTGTGACAATAACATGAAATCAATAAGATGCCGATCACGGAAACTAATAGCAGAGTTAGGTAAGAACGTCTCAGGTTACTTATGTAACCATGGTTCCCTGAGTAGGGAACGAGACACTGCGTCCTCTAGGGGTCGCTATGGGGAATGCCTCGTCGTGACCCGTGTCTGAAGCATACATTGAAAAAACACCAACTCGTTGGCCGGCGACAGCCATGACGTCACTACCGGTGCGACTATAGTATAAATAGGCGCCGGGAGCTACACATCATTCACTTCTTCGTCTGAAGCTTGCGTCCGCAGCATGGCAAGAAACCTAGAGTACGCAGTGTCTACTTATGTATGTCTTACATAAGTAACCTGAGCCGTTCCCTTTCATGGGAACTTCGAACTGCGTCCTCTAGGGGTCGCTATGGGGAACGGTATACCCACGCCACCATGCTGAGGGGAGTGCATGCCAGAACCATGGCAAGCACTAAGTAACAACTCTACCGTATTGCTATGGGAGTCGCTATGTGGATTTTAGAAAGTGGGCAAAGCATAACGTGCACACACTTGAAATACCGTTCTAGGGGTTCTCGTGGCTCTCCCGTGCCGTACCGTTGCCGGGCGGCAGCTGGGATTTTCGCTCGTCGGAGCTCACTGAGCCCTGAAGCACCGAGGGTGGCAGGGGTATCAATAAGCCTCCGTGAGGGCACTGAGGAGGATTGGGCACCGTATACTGAGGTGTTATTCTCTCCTCTCCAGGTGGGTTGCCCTCAGGGACCTGACAATGGTAGGACCATTTCGCCGAGGTCCTCTTAGACAAATAACGGTCCGCAGATCCGTTTTAGGTCTAGAAGACCCCAACTGAGAGCATCGCCCCGACCCCCGATCTTTCTGTGGAGGGGTGCGGGTTGCAACGCTCTGTTTTTGAGACTGGCGATATGAGGAGCTTTATGACTTGGGTTGCTGCTCGCTCAGCAGCCCCACCCCTGAGCAGGTCAGCCTGGTAT